TTTAGCGAGAGGCTTTGCCATTCAGATCTTAAAATTACCATCTTACCTTTGCATCCATCTTTTATCTCTTGCCTGTCAAGTGAGAGGAAGGTTAAAATAAAATTAAAAGCGAACCAGGCACGGGAGACATGCCTATTATCCCAGCACTCAGGTGGCTGAGGCTGGAGGGTCACCTGAGGCAGTCCTGCACTAGAGAGTGAGGTCAAAACCAGCCTGAAGAGCTAGCCCGATAGCTCAGTGGACTAAAGCACTGCCTAGGTGGGCACAGTGACCAGGGTTCAGTCCCCAGCATTCTTGCCAGCCCTACACTTGGGGCTCCCTGAGACGGTGACTGAGACTGGGCATGGTGGCATACACCTATAGTCTTCAAGTAATTCCAGCGCTTGGGAGACTGAAAACAGGAGGGTCACTGTGTAGTGAAATCCTATAGACTCTGTACTAAATACAATAATTAAAAAAAAAAAAAAAATCCTGAATGACATAGAAAGACCCTGTCCAAAAAAACCCCCCATAAGATTAAAATTGATAAGCCAGGCATGGTAGTGCAAGTCTGTAATCTCAGCCTTTACAAGGCTGAGGCAGGAGTGTTGCTGTGAGTTCAAGGCCAGCCTGGTTCACATCGTGTGATCCTGTCTCAAGACCACACAATGAAATCTTGTCTCAAAAAAAATAAAAAAAGCTTAAAATTGATCATTCACAAAATGAATATCTTATAATTAGATAAAAAGAATTTCTAAAGGGGCCGGGGAGGTGGCTCAGTAGAATAAGCGCTTCCCTGGCAAGTGCAAGGACCTGAGTTCAATCCCCGGTTCCAGGAAAAAAAAACAAAACACCACATCTTCTGGGTCCCCCATCATACAGAGATAATACCATCTGTTGAAAAAAAGAATTTCTATAAGGCAAATAATTATTAAACGAGATTACTTTTTAAAACTGAGATAAATTCTTTAAAATTAAATTTTTTTCTTTTCCCCCAGAAATAAACACTGTGCTTATATGATCATTTACCTCAGCTCTTTTAGGACTAAGGCAGATATAGCAGTTTAGCTTATGTTTTTCTGGGGTTTTTGTTTGTTTTTTGTTGTTTTGTTTTGTTTGGTGGAACCGGGGATTGAACTCAGGCCCTTGCACTTGCCAGGGAAGCGCTTATTCCACTGAACCATCTCCTGGGCCCCAAGCTTATGTTTTTCAAAGATAGCTGACGTATTGGTTATTTTCTTTTCTTTTCTGTTTTCTTTCTCTCTCCTTTTTTTTTTTTTTTTTTTTTTCAATATCAGGGATTGAACTCCGGACCTTGCCAGGCAAGTGCTTATTCTACTGAGCTATCTCCACCGTGCTGGTTAATTTCAAAAATGAAAGTGCTTGTTATTGGAACTTTTTTTTACTATCTCATTATAATGTATTTTCAGGGCAGGGAATTTTTTTTTAAATATGTATTTAGTACAGGGTCTACTGGGTCTCACTACACAGGTCAGAGTGATAGTGGTTCTCCTGTTTTCAGCCTCCCAAGTATGGAGACTACAGGCGAGTGCCACCACGCCCAGTCTCAATCACTGTCTCAGCACTCCCCCAGGGGTGGGGCGGGCACAGCATGTGGGGATCAAACCCCGTCCCTGTGTCTGCCTAAGCAGACTCTTTAATCCACTGAGCTATCTGGCCAGCTCTTAGGGATAGTTTTCAAAGGAACCTAGAGAAAATAAATGAAGAGTTTATTGCTTAAACCCTGCAAGCCCAAGAAAGAACCCATTTCTGAATATTTCTTTTTCTTTTTCTTTTTTTTTTTTTTTTTTTGCGGTACTGAGGATTGAACTCAGGACCTTGTGTTTGCCAGGCAAGTGCTTATTCTACTGAGCTATATCCCTGGCCCATTTCTGAATATTTCTTTCTTAAGTGTTCTATATTTGATAATGAATAAAATTCAGTGTAAGAAGTGAAACTCTGAGTGAACCACATCAAATGGGTTGTAATTGACCCAGTGACCTGGACTATAATATTGTTTACAACAGCGTTTATCACACTTTGGGTTTTACAATCCCAAAATGTGTACTCCTACAGATATTACTTTTGCTGATGTGTGCTGTATCTATTGATATTTATAATATCACTTGTTAAAACTGGGAATTTAATCTGGGAATGGTGATACACTCCTGTAATCCCAGCACTTGGGAGAGTAAAGCAGGAGGATTGCCACAAGTTTAAGACCAGCCAGGGCTATATGATAATTTCAAGACCACACTTAATTACATAGCAAGACCTTGTCTTAAAACAAATAAACATGCTTTGGCAAGTGCAGGGACCAAGGTTCAACCCTGCGTCGGCATGCCACACCAGCCCCGCCCCTCAGGCTCTCTGAGCCGGTCGTGAGTCTAGGCATGGCGGCACACAGTTGTAATCCCAGCGCTGAAGAGGCTGAAACAGGAGGATCACTGTGAGTACGAGCTGCATAGTG